TGTTTTTGAATTACCTGCAAATTATTATTTATTCCGGGTCGAAGAACGAAATTTTATATTCTTTTAGAAAAGTCAGACGTCTTTCAAAAACTTTACTTTTTTTTTCAACAACTCATATTTTCACATCAACCTTGATCACTACTAACAAATGTCAACTAAAAACGATATACAGGGTGTAATCAGATAACAATGATAAATCTATAACAGTAACAGACAAAGTGTATCTATATTAAATACTTAAAACGACAATTGTATCAATTTTCATAACAATTGGACAGATATTCTAAAATGTGCATTGTAAAAAAAGTATCGGATTCAATTGTATTTACGGCTCAGTATTTTGCATATAGTAGTATACGTATTCTTATATTATGCCCAAAAATACACAAAACCTTTGTAAATTGTAGCTTATATGTTATTCTAATGTATAAGCTGTATCAAGTCCCTCAAGTATAGGTAGATTTGACGGTGACGGTGTAGATATTCTTATGATTATAGAACCAGAAGATTAACAATTCTCATTTCCGTCGGTATAAAAGGCCGCTGTTCATTGTATAACCCTCAGCTTTGCACATAATTAAGATTTGTAAATATAAGCCATCTAACATTGCCAGTGCTTTGTTATACAAATACAGTTTTATTGAAAAAATAAATTAACATGTCATATAACATCCTTGAAAAAGATACTTTTACGTCTGTAAGTCGTTGAATACTTCTCTCCTAGGATGCAAAAGCTGCGAATATCCCTCAGGAATTCCGTAATTCTGCACAGTTATGTCTTCTTCATCTGGGTGCCACTGTCTATCGTAATGCCCTGAAAATGTAAGGTTCATAATCGAATAATCATTACCAATAGTTGAGTAAATTAAATTGTCACTCGGGAATGTAAAATGGCAAATGAAAACCTTTCAATTGTTTGGAGAGGGCGGTAAGAATTAATGAAAAGTAGACTAGGCGATTTTAAGCAGATTATAGTTGTGAGTGCAATCAAGTGAAAACTTAATAATGCATAAAATTATTCAAACTGTATTTGTTTCAAGGCAGATCCGGTATCAGAATATGTATTTGTGAAATATGAAAAAATATAGACTACCAACTCAGTATCCCCATTGACCTTCTTCATTTTGTATTGATTCAAAAAGATTGGGAGCAATCGTTTCTGTAAACATCACAAACAATGCAAAGCCATAACACATTACACATTGCTACAATTGAATATGGAAGTCAGGTTATTCTGAATAGGTGTGAAAGTAATGTTACATCTATAAGCCCTTTAGATAGGTGACACAGTTATTGAATATCATCAACAAAAAAATCAAAAACAATACTACTTCAACAACACTTTACCCAATTACTTCATCAGATCGCCTTTGTATTACTTGTCATCGTTAACATCTGAACTTGAACTGTATCCTTGTCATGCTTTGTGTAACTACAAATAAACAGGACGTCCTCAAATAGTTTTCGTGGCGATCGTCATATTTTTTTGCATTATACACCGAATCAACTTTCTTCGTGAACTTCGTGAACAAATAACTTTGGAAGAATTCGGTTTATTTCGGTACTCAAGCAGTATATTGTGCTTAGTTTCTGGTGCTTACAGTGCATAAAAACAAGAGTCATTACCGGTAACAATGAAGTATTAGTATCATCTTTATTCGCATATAAATTTTCATGCAAAATTTTATATACGCCATTTGATAAGTAATGCTTTCATCTCATAGTATAAACTATACCAATTTTCTTCAATCGTGTTCTTAAGGAATCGATAGAGTCAAAACCGAATGATTTCTATTTTTTCGAACTATCTCTGTCGAAAATCAACGCTGTCAATTTCTAAGCTGCCGCAGATTCTAGAGTAAAAAAGGTGATTCAAAGAATTTTACGATACCAAATTTTAGTAGTGACACAATTTTCCCACATTCACGATAACCTGAATGACCGGAATGCAATTACATTATAAATGGTACCACAAAGTAGTACTGCTTTAATACTAAGATCATTTCTAATCTCACCGTCTGCACCTTCAATATCAACAGAAACAAAAATATCCCTATCAAAGGGATCTTCACAACCCTCATCCAACTTCTTACATGGTCCTTTTCCAGGTCCGTACGTTGAGTAGAGGCCATAGTTGTAGTTGCTCGTTGCTATTTTCTTCAATCCCTGAATCGAAGTCAGTAATAAAGCCATTTTTGCTAGGAGTAAAGCTTTGCCTCCAAGTATTGCAAGGAACTGAAATCCCATTGGTATGACAATTATAGCCGCAGTCACTAATCCAAACATGAGCATTTGGGTGAACATGTTGTTTTTACGGCGGCCTCTGGCTAAAAAGTATAAAACAATGAAAACCTTTGTTCTACTGTGTTTGATAATATTTTATAGATGATCAAATAATGGATATAAAAAAGAAACAGGTTTTTTATATACAATTTCAGTGAATCTATGGAGAAATCTTTCCCAATACCAGGACGCTAACTTGGTTAGCTAAACGCACGTCGAGAGATCATAGTTGTTGTTTTGGTGTTGGAAAAGTGTTTTCGTTAGATGCATTTTACGCCAGAGGTTCCATTAAGAAGTATCGAGTACAATTTCAGTGTTTATTATCCTGCCTAGGGCCGAACAATTGGGAATATAAGAAGAGAAGGACTTTAGAAAAAGTAAAAAAATCATGTCACCACTGACAATCATTACATAATGGCAAGAAATAGGCATGAAAGAATGATGGGGAATGCTAGAATAGCCTGGTTGAAGGAGAGGGTAGAGCGGATCCAGAATGAAAATCCATGGGACTGCATCTACCGGCTCCTCAACGACGAGAAGTGCCTTCTAACGTTGCGAAAGGAGACGAAAACTACACCGAAGGGAATAGGAAGGAAGAAACCTGTAGGTATCTGCTGAATAGGTACTTCCCCAAGGACAACCCCTCAAACGACACGCCGGCCAAGCGTTGGATTAGAGAAGAAGTGATAGGTGAATGGGGAGAGAATCAGCCGGCATTTTCGGTTGGGGAGCTACGCACAGTCGTTTTACAGCTGCCTAATGGGAAAGCGACTGGTATAGATGGGGTGCCTAACGGAGTTATTCGTAAGGTAACCGACTGAAAGGGAGATTACTTGTTGGAAATATTTAACGCCTCTACAGATAAAAGGTACTTTCCGGATGTATGAAAGAGAACGAAGGTTGTGTGGATACCTAAGAAGGACGGAAATCCCAGGCCTATCAGCTTGCTGACTGAAATGGGACAGACGTTAGACAGGCGTCTAAATGGTTGAGTGCAAATCTGGTGCGAAAGAGAGTTGAAATTCTTCCGGGATCAGTATGGATTTACGGCTAGAGTGAATTCTAGTATGGCCGTAGAAATAATTGTGAATAGAGTGAAAGATAAGAAAGGAGTGAGACATAGTTTGATTATGGCATTGGACCTGTCAAACGTTCTCAATACCGCATGAGTACCAGCGATCTAATGATGTATGAGGCGTATGGGGATGCCGGGAAATGTAGGGATGACGTGCATGAATTTCATAGGTAGGAGAACAGCTACCTGCGGATTGGTCTCTGAAACGGTGGACAGAGGCTGTCCAGATACTGATCAATGGTTCTCTTACTCATTTTTAAAAAAGCAGTGTGATAGGATTTCGCGATCAAATCTTCATGGAGGATGGAAGGGAGCAATGAGGGAGTAGAAAAAAAAAGTTTTCATTATTCCAAATTTGACATACATCATCCAGGCTGGTATTTAATAAATCTCTGAATTCTATTAACAGTTTTCCAAAGTATATTACTGGAGTTTTCCCCCAACACAAAACTGTTATTTTAACACCTCGACACGCATTTCGATCACCAAGTGATCATCTTCAAGAGGAAAGTTTGATCTTCACTTGAAGATGATCACTTGCTGATCGAAACACGTGTTGAGGTGTTAAAATAACGGTTTGGTATTGTGATGAAACTCCAGTAATATTCATTACTACACCAAAGGTTACAAACAATGCATTACAAGTTTTTCAATGTAATAATTGAATAAGTGAAAATCAGACAAACATAAGAATTTCTGTTTGGCTCTCTGATAAACTGTTTTCTCTCATGAATATTTAATAAAGTCTCTTGCACTAAATTTTCATTTTGGTTTCATTCATATAATTCAATTTCATCACCTTGATCGTTATTTCAATCTTGGAACACGTTTAAGTCCCTTTTCAACCTTCCATATAAATTTCGTTTCTAGCAAGACCTGAGCTCGCATTCATTTATTATACAATTTCAGAAACTGTATTCGTGTTTCAGGTGCTCCAGGCAATTATGGTTTATAATGAGATTAAGGGATTTCACATGAGCAATCTTAGAGTTGCGGTTTGAGTGTTTGGAAATGATAATGATTATTTAGCTCTTTCGTCATGTTTCAAGAAAGTTATGTGATTTTCTGAATGGAACTGTGAAATTACTAGGATATGCTAATTCACAAGATAATTTTTGTTAGTGCGAATTGAAATGCAAGAGCATCTGTTCTCAAGATTCATGAATCTATCCTACCGTATTCTGTGTATGAAAACCCTGCTTCAGACTCAAGATAATGGAAGAAATAACACGAAGTGCATGAAGAGAGAGTATTGAAAATACTAACTATTACAAAAAAAAACATTTTTTTAAGTTTGAAAGATACCATTGGAAGCAGAATTGAACGCTAATCAAAATGATGTTACACTTGACCCCTTCCCATTTAAAATTCCAAGGGTAACATCTACTCCTTTTAGGAGCTTGAACTATGAGGGCTACAAATAGTCTTCAAAAGTGTCCCCTTGACAATACAATTCCACATATTTTTTACTGGAAGGAAGATATTAAGGGTGGGAAGTTTTCAAATTGACATTTTGTGTGTAGATATATGTAGACAGTTATATATGTAGATAGTTTTTTCAAATACAGCTGTGAGATTTCAATGTAGCTTATGAGCCTAAATATGTTTTGATTGTTTTGCTACACCTACCTGAATGACAACATCATTTTGAAGGAGCTGGTTGAAAATCTAATAAATAAGTATTTCATGGCATACAATTTGTAATTCATAAAGTGACCAGACGTCCCGTTTTGAACGGTACTGTTCCTTTATTCGACCATCTGTCCCGTTGTCCCCAAATAATGATCTGGGACGTAAAATAGTCCCGTTTTCTAAAATCATCCCTAAAAAAAGCGTTGTTATGTATTGGATGTGGAGCCCATATAATTCACAATTCTATAAAATCTGCTGCAGACAGCCTACATTTAGATTACGAAAGCATATATTATTTTTTTTTATATTTATACGGTTGGAGTTGACGCTCTAAAGGAATTTTGCACTGAAGCTGAAATAGAACATCAACAAAATTCTCGGCTACAGCAAATCTCGCTGACTTGCGCTGATGCCTGCTTTGGAGAGAGTTTTGAAAATGCACCAGCTGTTGAAGAATAATTTTTTGAGCATTAAAAACTGTCCCAAATCAACAAAAGACTTTTTCGAAGATCCTACATCTGAATTATGGCTTTGTTTTTTATACGATCAGTCAGCAAGTTTTCACCAAGCTGTTTTGAAGGATGAAGGTCAAACTGTAACTGTATCGGCAATTGACGCTGCAAAAAAATCAATCAACTTATTCAGAATTTGATTCAGAAATGAGTCAATCAGTTTCTTCCATTCACTGTTCGTGATTTATTCATAAAACTGAAAGATGATATTTATGAAGATTTTGTGAAAAGAACAGCTACAGAATTTTATAAAACAAGTCGTGGAAGAATGGACTAACTTTCTCACTAGAGAAATGGAGATATTTTATTGGGCAGATTTAAGAAAAGTACCTACGTGGGAAGATGTACAAAAAGCTTTGGATATATTGATTGGAATATATCAACATTACTAAAGATACAGACGTATTTGACGAATTTTCATTAATTGTAAACTACGTCACTCCACGAAAAATTACAGACTGGAATAATTTGGAAGTTCACACAGAAACTCGTTGGGTGGAAGTATTCAAACACTTTCGCACCAACAATCTGCAACATGAAAATTTTTGTATTTTAATTGAATATATTTTATGTCTACCTGGTACAAATGCTCCAGTAGAGAGAATATTTTCTTCAATAAATAAATTGTGGACGTCTGAAAAAAATCACTTGCAGGTTTCAGTTCTGAAGGCGATGTTGATAACGACGATCAATATAAACAAATCGTGCCAAGAAGTTCACTCTAATTTAAAATCATCACCATCTTTATCAAAGCAAATTTGTTCCTTCGAAAAATATAAATACGACTAGAAATATAATATGTTGCATATAATTTGATAATTACTGTCTCATTAACCACTGTCGAGGTTAAGTGGAAGGACAGGTTATTTTCATCGCCCTCAGATGAAAAAAAACTGAACTTCGCCTTTTAATTTTCTGTAATAAAAAATTTTTGTATCAAACTGTTAATTCAAGAAAATAATAAAGACGAATCATTATTATTATTATTAAAAATTGCTCTAATGAGTCAATACAGTATGGAGTATGGTCCGTACTGTATGGACCATACATACATCCATACATAGGTATGTTATATATGGACGTCCCGTTTTGAGTTGAAAAAAAGAATGGTCAGTTTAGTAATGCATCAGCTCTTATTCAACAAGTTGAAATTATTTTATTGAAAATCATTATTTTCAAAATTCATCTTCGAGGAAAAAGTAAATTGAAAAATTAAAATGATATAAAATATCTATACACACCTTCAGAGGGTGATGAATTGAAATTCGCTAAACGAATTTTGAGTACGTGTGTTGCAAAAAGTTTTTCCAATCCCTTGTATATACGTTTTTTCCAATCTTCACCGTTATCCATTCTGTCATTAGTCCAAGGTAGGTTCATATACCTAGAAATAATGATTTGAATTTCACAAAGATCACAAAGCAAAACATACAAAGGGGAATGTGTGCATAAATACATGTGATGAAAACAAAGTAAGGAATAATTTCAGATGGTAGGTTTGAAAAATATATGAAGTAATTCAGTCTTTATAACAAAGTAATTCCTGCCAGGTTATTTCAAAAATGTTATTTCATCAAAACATCAGAATTATGAATCTCAGAAGAATATTTCTTTATTTGATGAACTAACTTCCAGTTCACCCCGGTAAGTTACTGTGTGAATTCATCTATTTTTCACAAAAAAAAATGAGACATTCATTCCAACTTGTCATATTTCAAAATGTTGCCTATCAATAAAAGTTAAGAATCGCACAGTCACTCATTTATACGTTTCGGTCAAAATCTGCCTCCATCCTCAGAACTCAAAAATTAGTTAT